TTACTAACTTTTTTTCCTTTCCTTTTGTAGTGAAAAGTTTCACAAGAACGAACATGTTTCTATCCTTGGTTGGTATTCATCTGTACGCACTTTTCTGGGCGGTTAGTCCATTGTTTGGATGGGGACGTTATGGACCAGAGCCTTACAGAACGTCCTGTACACTCGATTGGGAAAATCCTAGTAAATCGTTTGTTATAGCAACTTTTGTGATGTGTCTTGGACTTCCGTTTTTAATTATGTTAACAACGTATGGTTTACTAATTCAACTAAGTCGCACTACAACTAAGAATATGCAACGATGGACATCCTCAGATAATGTGTGGACGCGGAAAGATCTTTACCTTCTGAAGGTATGTGATTTCTTCTTTATTTTCCTGTCCTACCCTACCCTGCGCTACCCTACCCTAATCCTACCCTGTCTGACCATACCCTACCCTGTCTGACCCTATCCTATCCTATCCTATCCTATCCTATCCTATCCTATCCTATCCTATCCTATCCTATCCTATTCTGATGTCTTGTTCGTTCTCTTCGTTCTCAACCATTGGAAAGACAGTAAAATAACAACCAGTATACAGAACATCATCTATTTTTACTCTCTACCCAGCTATGAACAGCTAGCATGGTCATGAGTAATCATCAATTATTGCAGGATTTCGACTTCTGAAGGCCGTATTTCTTATAACAGTTATTAAATGTACATTTATTATCGGAAAACAAATAATCTTTATTATCTTTGACTAATGACAATACTGCCGTGATAATTGGCAAAATATAAATTGATTTGAACAATTTAACCAAGATTATATACTTTTATCATTCCTATTATAAGATAAATAAATAATAATTTGATATAAGCATACCTGTCAAGGTCATAAATTGTGAAAATAGATTGTTATTTATGAAGAAACCATGGTTGCTCGCCCTTCTTCAACTATCAAAAAGTGGTCAATCTCCAGTATTATGTCGAGTAATTTGTATGGGTACCTAAATATGAAATGGTTTTACTGGGCTCAATACATAGGATGATGGTTAGAAATCGAAAAAGAGAGTTGGCCAATGCTGCAATGTTCTGGCAAAATTTCTCCGAATGCACACTGCATGGCGTTGCCCGTCTTCATTAGCCCATTAGGTGCAGAGCAGTAGGGCGTAAAACTCCATTCATTTCATTTCATTTCCAAATATCTGTCTCA